GGCTTTTTTGGAGTGCGGAATATTTGGGGATAAACGATTGGGTATTTATAATTAAAGCTCGGGTAATTATAATGGATAATTTTGGTAAACATTTTTTGTAATGTTTGACAAATAAACGTCGTAGGTCATTTGGTGTCGAACGACGGAATTTGTGAACTGAGTTGTTTGCTAGTGTTCCAGCAACTAAACTAATTATATGCTATTAATATCTAATAAGAAATCTTATCGTTCATTTTCCTTTATAATTCATTGCACGAGCACCTTGAAAGTAGCAACTTGCTGTATTTAATTATTTAAATTGCCAACATCCACTTAAAACTTTTCAAATGAAGATGAAATGCGCATTAGTGCGCATAAAAACTTAGCAGATCGACAAATACATTTCACGAAATCAGGGGTGGGGCTAGGTGGAGATGTAGGGGTCGAACAATCCAATCACGAACGAGCCAGCAAATTGTTGTATTCATTCGTCAAATATTGAACACCTTGGATATCGACCGATCGAATTATCGAATTGAGTTACCTAAATTAAAGCCGTAAATTTACTATAAAGATAAATTTAGATAAATTGGAACGTCAGTTGAAAAGATATCTTGAAAATGTACTCTATCGAGTTGTAGCTGATAATTTATCTGTCCGAAACAGCAGTCATATGGCTGGAAATAATTGTTGTGGGTGGTTATAGAATCGGTTTTGATCGTTGCATAAGGTAGTCATTCGGATTCTTGCCAAGAATATTCGGATTCTTGCCAAGAATGGAGGGAATGAGATTTCAAAGACTGCAGATATCAAAAGTTTTCCAGGGGAGCACGCCTCCGCAACCCTAAGAACTCTGTGTGGATAAAAACAGTCAAGTATATTCGGCATGTCTGGCCGATTTTATTGTGAAAGTGGAATGTAATCCCCGATACATGCAATATTAACCAACATTTAGTAAAGTGCGCGTATACATAGGCTAATAGATTGTGCAAGACTATACCGCCCCCGCCCCATCCCCACCCCCCCTCATTAAAAAGGTCTAGAGCCGCCTCGGCACGAAAAACTGAACAATTCATATACTTGATATCTGAAAGAAATTCCATTTCATCTATGTTACTTGATCAACACGTGTTTTTATCTCTCTCAAACAAACATATGGTCCCACAGACTTCATTAAAAATAATTTACTTCAAATCCGGAAAGACCTTGAACGAAAAAGAGCTATTTGTTAAAATTACCGTGATATATAATCAGCAGGAGGAAATTGCATAATTTCCAAATATATTACTAATAAAACTCAATTCTGAAACTCATTATGCAAATTGTCCGTTCACACATTACTATTATATTAAGCAACTTTCAACTAAAACGTATTTTATATTGCACTCAGTGTTTTTCACGGGCACTGGTCACGTGTACGAATGAATTATGTTAATAATTCCACAACAAGTGAAGAAGACAACACTTCCAAGAGCGCGTCCTGATTGTGGAAGGAAGAGAAAACTATCCAAAATTAAGGTACGTACGTATGGTTATTGATATCAATACTATAGATGACGAAAAATATTATTAAAAATGGCAAGAATTTGATAACTATACACCCTACATGATAATACTTTACATTTGGTAAGAAGCGTATAGCATTCAATTCGTGATACGAACTAGATATTTCGTTATTCATACTTTTCGTTCGTTTATTGATTCATTTTCAGTCACTGTATATTTCTTTTGACGATGCAATACGTTTGGATAACGTGTTATAGAACATTTGTCTAGTTTCCACTGTTTTTTTGTTAGAGAAAATGAAAAAAATCTGAGGCAATGTGCTACTTGAATAACGTCATTTTTAAAGCCACTCGAAATTCCTGTTGCACCCATAACTTTATAACGAAGAAATTAAGCTAGAAAGAAGTTCGACATTTTTTATTCCACGCTCACTAAGAACTCTCATGAGTCATGAAGAAAATTATGGCAGATGCCTCCTTTACACATTAAATATGTATACATAAGTATAAAGAAATCTGAAGAATACTCTAACATCTGTACATGTTACTGTTACTGTCACATGGCCATGCACGACCAACAAATGTCACGACAATCGAGCACTGCGCGTTTTTTAAATAAAATCTGCATGTACTATGTTCGTATACATACTCGCTCGCTTGATGATACTATGTACACCGGCTCATGACACTCACCAAGCATTAGGATATTTGGGCAAAATCACGGCTAATTAAAGTTATTCTAGCTTGTGTGTACTGTTTAAGAATAGTGAATCTGAATTAAAAGTACATGTATATGTGCACTATCGGTTTTCGGATTCGTTAATTAATTTGTTAATGAACTCTGTCCAGATCCCCAAGGTGGTAATAGTCATGGTATTCTTAAATTGGTGATAATTTCTCGCTATAGCTCTCCTTTTTTTTCCTCACGGTAACACAACTCCGTACGCTGATCATAACTGCATGTCGCCCACTGCAAGGAAATATTTCAGTATTCGCGAAAGACCGAGTCAGTTAACTTTAGATGATTTTACAATTTTCTGAATTGGTTAATTATTTCTACCTACCACTATATACGTAGCAAAATATGGCACAATTTGCGGGCTTGTGCGTGCATGTAATCTTGAACAACTTGTCATAAAGCTATATAGTTTTGTTCTTCAAACCAACGTCAAACTTCAAATAACGAGACAAGATGGCCATCCGGTCATCTTGCATGATAATTCACTGCAGGAAATTATGTCTATACAATTCAAATAGATCCTTTGTAAGGCGTCTTTTCTTTGAGAGTTTCTTTTGATAACATATCGTTCGTGTGATTCTTATAAAGGCAGAAATTCTCTTGATGAAAGAATACTTATATATATTATTAACCAAGTGTTATTCTGACTGTAGGACACATTAAACATTTTACTTGTTTTAATGACATTCATTGGCGCAGCATCAGAACAAGCGCCTTTCACCTCTGAGATCGTGGGTTTGATTCTCGCTACTGAGTAATGTGGAAAGATTGAGTCTGTGAACTCTCACTCGAAAGTCGTGGGTTTGCTCCGTGTGCCACGGTTTCCTCTCACATGCAGGTAGTGAACCATTAGATTACATTTAGTTAGGAAAATAATATCACTATTTTTGTAAACTTACATAAATAGTCTAGACTATAAGTGTAAGTATTGATGTATAGTAGAACCTCCGCCAACTCGAAAAAAACCCACCAAAGCGAAAGATTATTCTATATTAGCTGGGGTACGAGTAAACGGAGACGATGTTGGGTTTATTATTATACGTTAATAATTAATAAGGTATTATCGTTTTTATCATTCATCACAATTGTGAGCCATTACCGCGATGCACTCTATAGAAAAAACCTTACAAAGTTTGTAGCTACTACCTTTATCCAAGTTTATTAAACAGTCCCAATCACAGTTCACCTTTCAGTACTTTCTTCTCATCTTCTGTGTTTTTCTTCTATAGTTTAGGCTATATATACTGATTATATGATTGTCTGAACGAATAACTGGTGTGATGTAAGTGAGCCCCCTATGTGAGCAACCGGTAACTCTTGCATGCATGCATGCATGCATGGGGACTGAGCTTCTCTTTCAAAATTAAACATTTTTTATACAATAAACGTATTTAATGGTACAGCACCTACAAACAGTATACCGGTATATTAGATCAGTATAATGATCAACTCAACTTTTATCTCTTTATCGACTTTTATTATATACGTTTGTACATATATATACCGATTTAAATTGTTCTTGTCTAGAAATCCGAGCTTCTAACTGTCCTGCAATGTGCTATGGTCTCAATGTTTTGAACCATTGCCGATCCACGTCTCAAAAATACAGTTTGAGTTAGCCTCGTAAATTTGACCAAGGGAAAATGGAATTTGTTCGAGCTATACGCGGACTCGATTCAACTAGAGAGAATTACTGTAAAATTGGGTCAAATCTAGGGGAAATTGGAATTAGTTCGAGTTATAGCGCGGGAGTTCAAATAAAGCGAGTTCGAGTTAGCGGGGTTATACTCAAAATGTATCCAATTAGTTATTTTATCGCATGCAGGATGCGCTTATAGTACGCCAAATACGGGATTTCAAAATTTTAAGTGGAAGCGTAACTCCACGATTGTTGATGATAACTAAAAACCTTCAAACAGCGAAAGAACGTTTGAATATCTCAGTTGATGTCTTCCGAAACTTGTATACATTGGCGATACTTATCAGTATATGTATAGTTATTTTACTTAAACAGTATATATAATGCATTGAAAAAGGCACGGGCGAATGTTCGTCGGATATCGTCAATTCATCATGTATTTGTCATTATATGCATGTCTGGATAAGCCTTTAATTTGCCCTAATAATGTTAATTAGCTACAGCTAGAGCCTTAGCTGGGGCCGGTTGTATAAAAACGTAGTTAACTTTAACTAATTATTAGCTATGATTAGTTAACTACACGACTTAATTGCGTTGCACAAAACGTAGTTTGTCGGATAATTAACTAATAACGTAGTTAACTTGCGTGGGGCTTGCGTGGGTGGTTAAACAATAAAATTACATAAAGTATGGAGTAATTAACGACCGCTTACAAGCATTTTTAACATGACTGTGGACTCGCATTTTGCAAATATTATAGGCGGGAATTTTATTCAAAATAGTGAAAAATAAACAAGAAAACAACGAAAAATCAACGAAGAAGGCCGTTTTTACCTGAGATGTCTACATTAAACCAAGGTGTAACTGCTTGACAATTATAGTATCATGTTTCTTCGTGTAATGGGCCCTATATGTCGTCTTCGAGAAATCTTCCCGTGCAAAAGAGTTTATGTTGTCAGGAAGGGAAGATAGCAATTGAAAATCCCAGGCAAGAATTGTTTTTCATTATTTGTTTACTGAAAAATGTTGTTCACTACTATATACATACAAGCGTCATTTTTAACTGGACAAAACGCTAAGTATTGCTAATGATTTAAACAATCTAAAAAAATACTGCTTAAACAATGAAGTTGAAGGTATGAATATATTAAGACAAGAGAACGCAAGTCTTAAAGTAGAAAACGAAGCCTTAAAGGATAGCCTATATACGGCCAAATTTGCTTTATCTGATTTGAATACGAAAGTTAAAGATCTCGAACATGAAAAAGCTAGCTTAACTACGACGTTGAAGATTTTATATATGGATTTTCATCAAGCCCATGAAGCTCGCTTCAAACAACAAGATCCGCCCATTGTAGTTAATAACAATAACCATGCAAATGATAAATCACCGAGTTCAATAGCTGAGAGAGATGTTGGTAATTGCTTAAGTCATACAGCTGATGAAACTATCCTTATTCCCGATGACCAGCCTGATACTGATAACAAAGTCTGCCCAACAGCGCAAAAAAGACCTAAGTCTGGTAAAGTGAAAGCCAAGCCTAAATCTCAGAAAGATAATGAAATAAATCAGGTCGAGCAGCAGTCATCAAAGCAAAATTCAAATGCTCAACTCAGCGATAAAAGTCAGTCACCCAAGAAAAAAGTCACTGCCGTACTCGGGGACTCGATTATTAAAAATCTTCAAGGCTGGCGACTTTCAGATGACAATAATCACGTTGTAGTCAAAAGTTTTGCAGGAGCCAACTGTACTGATATGGAAGACTACTTGAAACCTGTAGTTCGAAAAGAACCCGAGAACATAATTCTCCATGTTGGAACAAACGATCTAAATAAAAGTGCCTCGCCAGATCAAATAGCACAGGGAATTATCAACTTGGGAATCCAGATAAATCAGGACTCCCCCGCTCAAACAAGCATTACTATATCAGAAATTTTACCTCGAACGGACAAGTCAAATCTACTAATCAAAGCTAGTCAAGTCAATGACATCGTGAAAAAGTATTGCGACCAAAATAAATGGGACTATATTAACCATAAAGCCATTAATGCAACCTGTCTGAATTCAAAAGGACTCCACTTGAACAAGAAAGGTACTGCCATTATTGCTAAATCAATCTCTTCTTATATTATTAATCATTGATTAGTAGCGACGGGTATGTCTAACCAAACCTTTTCTAATGTTGATAAAAGCGATTCTAATACGCACAAACAAACTGATTTCAACTTACCTAAACACAGAGGCTTCAAAATTGCTTTTCTAGACATTGCAAGTTTACCCAAGCATATCGATGAATTAAGATTAAACATGCAACATCAATATTTAGATATACTGGTCTTAAACGAAACTCGTCTTGATGAAACTATTAGTAATTCTGAAATATCAATTGATAAATATACTTTAGTTAGGAACGATCGAACACGACACGGAGGCGGTGTAGCTATGTATATCCGAAATTCAATTAATTTTAATCTCAGAAATGATCTTCATGATGAAGCCCTTGAGTTTCTGTGCGTTGAGATCAGTAAACCTAAAGTTAAACCATTTCTAATATCAACGTGGTACAGACCTCCTAATTCTTGCAAGGATCTCTTTGACAAACTTCAGGTAATTTTAGATAAAATCAAGTCCCTTGGTATTGAAAATAATATCATTGGTGATTTAAATTGTAACATGAGTGCATCTATTGCAGATAATAATACTAAACATTTACTTGAACTAAGTGAGTCATATCAATATACTCAACTTATTAAGGAGTCAACTAGAGTTACAAATAGCTCATCCACGTTAATCGATCTCTTTCTTACTAATGAACCGAACAACTTTACTTCTGCGGGCGTTATAGTTCTAGGTATCAGCGACCATAATTTAATTTATGCTATCAGAAAACACTCCAGTGTTAAATCTAAGCCTATAACTATCAAATCCCGCAGTTATAAAAATTTTGATGAAACTTCATTCAAGCATGACATTGATGCTATTCCTTGGCAGTACATAGTTTCCTTAGATGATCCTATAAATGCTTGGCAAATTTGGAAAAAAATATTTCTTGATGTTGCTGATAAGCATGCTCCAGTCAAACAAAGAAGAATAAGGAAAAACTGTGCCCCATGGCTCTCTGTAGATATCAAGAAATTAATATGGGAACGAGATCGATTGAAGCGTAAAGCAGTTTATACTAATGATGAAAATAATTGGGTCAATTTCAAAACAGCTAAAAATCTAGTTAACTATAAAATTAGAGATAGTAAAAAGCAATATTATAATTCTCTGTTTCAACTCAACGTAGGTCGAACTAAAGAAACTTGGAATGGTATCAAGTCTTCTTTCTAAATCTAAAACTTCAACTACTATACCAAAAATCTTGCAAGATGAAATCGAAATTACTGACCCAGTAACTATTAGCAATGTTTTTTATAAGCACTTCACTGATTTCGGACCTAAATTAGCAGCACAAATTCCAACAACTGGTGCGGCCTCTTCTAACATTCCGCAATGTAATGAAGTTTTTGAATTACATGAAGTTACTCCATCTCAAATAGATGGACTAATTTATAAATTATCGACTTCTAAGGCTAGCGGCCTTGATAACATTCCTGTTCGTTTATTAAAACTAATTAATTTCACTACTGTGGTTTCACTTACTCACATTATTAATCTAGTAATTCGCAAGGGAATTATTCCCGCTGACTGGAAGTGTGCCAGGGTATCAGCAATTTATAAACATGATTCAAAACTAGATTTGAATAATTATAGGCCTATTTCAGTCCTTCCTGTAGTTTCAAAAATTTTTGAAAAAGTTGTCTTTGACCAAGCATATGCCTTTTTAAACAAAAACAACCTTTTATCTGACATACAGTCAGGATTTAGACCTCTTCACTCAACGTTAACAGCTATGCTTGATGTCACTGATAAATGGTACACTAACATGGACAGTGGGTTAATAAATGCTGTCTTATTCATTGATTTAAAAAAGGCTTTTGATACCATTGATCATAACATTTTACTACAGAAGTTAACTTGTTACGGTTTCAACAAAGAAGCGATTGATCTTTTTAGAAACTATCTTTCTGATCGTACTCAAATAACAGTTATTAACAACATACGATCTGATACTCGTAAAGTAACTTCTGGAGTTCTTCAGGTGTCTATCTTAGGTCCACTACTGTTTTTAATATACATAAACGACCTACCTAATAGTGAATTGGTATCAGATGGGCGTTTATTCGCTGATGATACCAACTTGACTTTTGCGGACAGCAACCCTGACAAGTTGATTTCTGTTCTAAATGACGACCTTAAAACTCTCCAAAACTGGCTTAACCAGAATAAACTAAGCCTGAATGCGATTAAAACTAAATGTATGTTTATGGCATCTAGACAAAAATTAAGTACTATTCCTGAAGAACCTAATATTGCTATCGCCGGAAACAAAATTGAAAGAGTTAGATCTTATAAGTGTTTAGGTTTAAAACTGGACGAGAGTTTGACATGGGAGCATCATGTTTCTACTATAATATCCAAAGTCTCCAAGGTGATTGGAGTTCTACGAAGACTAAAACCATTGCTCCCACAGTCAACTCTTGTCATGATCCATAACTCTTTAGCACAGCCTTACTTTGATTATTGTAGTATTGTCTGGGATAGCCTAGGTAAGGGTCTTGGACAAAGGTTACAGCGATTACAGAATAGGGCCGCAAGAATTATTACTGAATCTGATTATAACATCCGGTCATCAGATATTTTAACATCATTGAATTGGACCAACCTTGAAACCAGACGTACCCAACAGTTCAAAACTTTTATGTACAAAACTGTTAATAATATGGTTCCTAGTCATTTGTCTGGAAAATTTACTTCCACGTCAATGATACACGAACATAGTTTGCGTGGATCTAATCATAAACTTTTTGTACAAGACCCTTAACGGAATCCTTGAAGAAAAGTTTTTCCTACAGAGGAGCTACCCTCTGGAATGACATACCGTCGAACTCACTAGAGTTCAATCTCTCGTTGAGTTTAAATCTAAAATATCTTAATATTTCTTTTATATTAGTTTCTTTGCATGTGTAGTTTGTTACCTTTGTAAATAGTTTGATACTTTTTTATTAGTAATTAGTCAACTAGTATAGGTACACGTCTCCATTGAAGAGCACATAACATAACTTGTGAAATGGACCTCGTGTTTTAAATAAAGATGTCAATCAATCAATCAATGCACTCTTTCAAAATTTTACGCTAATATACGCTTTTATTGATAGCGTAGCGTATAAACATTGCGCCACAATGATTGATGCGTATTTTGGCATACATTATGATTTCAACCAATAGAATTCTTGAGTCCGCTCACGGCCGCGAAATTTCCTTGAGATTGTTGCAGGCTCTCTTTATTCTTTGAGCCTGCCACGCAGGCTAACTTTTGTATTGCATGCGGAAATTGCTACTGGCCACACGCAATACTAAAGTATACAAAATTTGCAAAGTTTGGAAGGCTATATTTTCCACATTTTACAACATTTTGCAACGAAAATTTGCTCTTTTACTTATTTTAGTATGCTCTTCCCGGGAAAATACTTTTTTTGCTAAGATAAAAAATTAGTCTATAATGGGAATTGTTAATTTGTCCCCATTTTCTATTTTGTTTCTCTAAATAAAAAGCTATAGAGTCGGGGGGGGGGGTATCAAAATTCATGTTCTTGTTTTGCCTGTTGGAGCTAGTCTTCTACGCATACATACTTAGCGGGCTGAGCCCTCACGTAAGGTATGCTTACTTTGGCCAAGAATTCCTTTCCTCAAAATTAGCCAATCACAGCTTTACCCACGAAAATTGTGGGGCTTGACCTTTGGCTTTGACGTTGAGGCTTGGGTCGTTATGTCGGAGACTGGGTACGAACAGTGTTAATTTTGTTGAGTTAAGCACATTTTTTGTGAGACTTGTGAGAGCGAAGTGAGATTTTATAGCGAAGCGATTTCTATTATTAAATATAACTTTTAAACTTTAATTTGTGAGTGATTTTAAGCGAAGTGACGTATTATTTGTTGGGAATCAGTTTTGGAGGCAAATTTTCCTAACACCTGGCACCTCCGACGAAAAATATTGATGAAATTTGCGAATTATTTCTGGATTTTGACCTCAAGAGACAAAGTTTAGATACGAATTCTTTTAATTTACTGGCGATATTTGTGGCGATATTACATAACGTTTGAGAGATTATTGTGCAAGGACTTGTTTACGTTCTGAACTGTGGGATTATATTCATATTTCGGCGATTTGTGGCGATATATTTCATATCTGTGAGCGATATATTTTCTGTGTAAACTTGTGTACTGCGAAGGGTGTTACGGCAACCCGCGAGTTTAGCCTGCGACCAGGCTAGAGTGTGCGAAGTTCCGCCTGCGAGATTCGGCCCTAGAGGGGCCCTCTAGAGGTACAGTGATTTTCAAACATTTGTGATTTTTTGGAGTGATTAGTAAAATTTGGCAGCTGTTCCCAAATTTTAGTTGGCTGGAAGGACATTCTACAAGTGCTATATCTTATTGGCAAATTCTATATACTTTATAATCATACAACTTCAAATCTATTGATACTATGGCAACTGGGAACAGTGTAATTGAGAATAAGTTAGTACAGCTTAAGCTTATAGTTGGGCGAACCAGAAAGATTCTGGAATCCGGAAATCAAGAAGCAGTTGAGCGACAACAACGAGCTTTGCGAACCATTGTTGCTGACATAGACAAATGTAAAGTGGAAGAAGAAGCAAGAATGATTGACGAGAAAAAGGAGTTGACAGAAATCAGTGAATGGAATTCAAACATCGAGGAAAAGTTATCTGAAGCAGACAAGGACATTCATGACCTGAGAGAATGGTGTGAAAGTAAGAAACGAGAATGCGAGGAAAACCAGCGGAAGCAAGAATTAGATTTTGAACATGAATTATTTCAGACACGCCTAAAATTCCAGAATGAGCTACAGGCAGCTAAACTAAAGCAAGAATCAGCAAGTGTTGAAAAGAAAGAGTCACAAGCAAAGTTACCTAAACTCATCATTACTAAATTTAATGGTGCCTACCAAGACTGGCCTCGATTCTGGGAACAATTCCGAGAGACGGTGGACAAAACAAGTATTGATGCTGTCATTAAATTCACATATTTACAAGAGTTGTTGGAACCTAAAATCAGGAAATCTGTGGAATCACTACCCTTTACAAGTGAAGGTTATAATAGAGCAAAGAGTATCCTTCAAGACAGATATGGGAAACAATCAGAAATAATAAAGGCTTATACCAAGCAGATTTTCGATTTGCCCAAAATTCCGGATGGTAATGTGAAGCGAATTCATGAGTTCTCGGATAAATTATCATATGCGGTGCAGTCTTTGGAAACACTTGGCAAACTTTTTCAAGTCAATGGGTATGTATCGATGACACTAGACAAACTACCTGGAATACGTGGCGACCTTGTTCGAACAGATGATGCTTGGGAATCCTGGGACTTTGTAAAACTGTCTGATGCGGTGAGACTCTGGACTCGGCGAAACCCAGTTGAGAAGCTTCCTTCAGGAAAACTGCTTAATGTCCGACGTCAAGATTTTACTCCCAAGGGGTGTGTCTATTGTACTGAGAAATCACACAAATCAGCAGAGTGCCCAAAAGTATCATCTGTGTCTGAAAGACGGTTGATTCTTACCAAACAACATCTGTGAAGTGAAGTGAAGTGAAAGGCTTTATTTACTGAGGGTAACACGTGACAGTTAGAAACTGATAAACTTGTGGCCCTCAAAATTTACAAAATTTAAGATATTAGAACACATGTACAGTCGCTATTTAAAGTTAAAATTATTAAAACACGACCCTAACGCTGCAACCTATTTGCACATTTTTGATCATCTAAAAACTGTTTATAAATACTACGCCTAAAGCTAAAAGCAGAATGTATACTTCTAACGTTCAAAGCTAATTTGTTCCAGTCTATAATTGTTCTTACAGTGAAGGTTCTGCCTCCTTCTGTTTTACGATTGTAAATTGGGCATAGCATATTCAAATTCGAATAACGTGTATTCCTACTATGCCTGTCTGAATTTCGCGCTAAAAGTGAATTTAGATAGCTAGGAGTATTATAAGCACTATTTACACGCTTATACGCTAACATTATTCTCTTGATCAAAGACTCCTTCGTAAAAGGAAGCCAATTTAAAGTGTTAATGTCTTATAACTGCACTGGTTCATCACACCGTGCGAATGATTGCCCAAGTCAGTCTAAATGTCAAAAATGTGGGCGGCGTCACCACACCTCAATTTGTGATAATGATTCCAAGAGTGGAGTGAAGGGGAAGAAATTGCTAATTTCATGTGAGGTGAATCCGGAAGGAATCTTTCCTGTTGTTAGAATGAAAGTGGATGGCATTGAATGCAGAGCTCTGATCGACTCCGGAGCAGGGAGCTCCTATGCTTCTGCAAAACTAATTAATCTGCTGAAAAAGAAACCAGTTGAAGTAGCGAAAAAACGAGTTGATATGCTGATGGACTCTCAGGAAGCATTGTTGGAGACTTATGAAGCAGTTGTTGAAGCAGTTACTGGGGACTTTCGAATGTCCGTGAATTTGACAAAGGTAAAAAAGCAAGAGCTACTATTCGTTGATAACCCATGTTATGAAGAAGTAATCAAGAAGTATCCACATTTGGAAGGAGTTGAAATAGTAGAAGATGATGTTAAAGCACAGCTTCCAATCCATGTTGTCTTAAGTAGCGGTGATTTTTCTCGAATCAAGACTGATGCAAAACCCCGTGTTGGTAGAGACGGTGAGCCTATAGCGGAGTTAACGAAGCTCGGTTGGTTTATAATGTCGCCTGGTAGCGAGTTTGACAAAGCCAAGATGTTCCTGACACAAACCACTCATTCCGATTAGGAGCAACTGTGCAAACTTGATGTGTTAGGATTGGAAGATAAACCAGAAAACGACCAGGGGCAAGTTTATTCAGAGTTTAAAGAGCAGTTAGTTCGCAATGGCCAAGGATGGTATGAAACTGCACTACCATGGCGTGGGAATCACCCAAATCTTCCAACTAATGAGAAAGGAAGTATCAGTCGCCTCAATAGCTTGGTACGAAAACTTGAGCGGACAGAACTTTACAACGCCCACGACCAAATCATACGGGATCAGTTAGAAGAAGGTATTGTTGAATCAGCTCCAACTAAAGCCGAAAACCAGGAATTCTACCTTCCCCATAGAGCAGTTGTAAGAGATAAAGCAGAAACAACGAAGCTTCGGGTTGTATATGATGGTTCCGCTCGAGAAACCCTATCAGCACCCTCACTAAACGACTGCCTTAATCCAGGTCCTCCCTTACAGAACCGGCTATGGGATGTGTTAATTCGACAAAGAAGTTATCCAGTCGCTGTTAGTGGAGATATTCAAAAGGCATTCCTCCAAGTACGCATTAAGGCTGCTGAACGTGACGCTCTAAGATTTCATTGGAAACATCCTGGGGACAATCAAATACATATCTACAGGTTCACTCGTGCCCTCTTTGGGTTAACATGCTCACCCTTTCTCCTCGGAGGAGTTATTGACCAGCATCTAGAACTTTGGCGTGACAGGAAGCCTGCGATAGTGGAGGAGCTAAGGAAGAATTTCTATGTTGATGATCTATTATCTGGCGGAAACACTGTTGCAGAAGCTGGTGTTAAGAAGTTAGCAATGACCGAAGTACTGGCTGATGGTGCTTTCAAGTTACATAAATGGAATTCCAATGAAAAGGAATTAGAGGACGGTGAAAAAACTAGCAGTGAGTGTGAACAAACATTCGCAAAAACACAGTTAGGTGTGGAACCGAATGAATCCAAATTACTCGGTCTTAAATGGGAAAAGGATGAAGATACCTTGAGTGTTGTGTTCCCAAGTGATCCACCAGCGACTACTAAGCGTGGAATGTTGAGTAAGTTAGCAAGAGTCTATGATCCTCTCGGATTAGCTTCGCCAATCACCGTAAGCGGGAAGATGGTATACAGAGACGTATGCGATTCGAAGGCCTCGTGGGATGCAGAACTCAGTGGTCAAAGTGCTCAGGAGTGGAGTATGTGGGAAAAGAGAATACCCGAGTTAGTAACTGTACCACGGTCACTTGCAAAATTCCAAGAAGATATTCATTCAGTGACTCTCCATGCCTTTGGAGATGCTAGCACCAAGGGCGTAAGTGCAGCCGTGTATTCAGTAGTGAACCAACTATCAGGGACAACTCAAACCTTGGTGGCTGCAAAGTCTCGGTTGGCGAAACGCAATCTCACGATCCCACGATTGGAGCTTACTGGTGCTCATATGGCTGTTAACCTTCTAGCAAATGTCCGTCAAGCATTGGACCGCTTCCTTGTTGTTGACCAACACTGCTGGCTCGACAGTACCGTTGTGCTATATTGGCTGCAGGGAAATGGGCGATACAAGCAGTTTGTTCAAAACCGTGTGAACAAAATCCACCAGCATCCCAACATCTCATGGCATTACGTACCAACTAAAGACAATCCTGCAGACCTTGGCAGTAGAGGAACAAATCAACTAACCGATCAATGGATATCAGGTCCGCAGTGGTTATCGAACCAAGAGGAATGGCCCAAAAGCCCAGTCTTGAAGCCGACGAAAGAGAGTAAAACTGAGGAACAACTCGAGCGAGTGTTGTCTACCTGTGCTTTGCAAGTCCCGAATGATGATGATCAGAGCCCCTTCGATGAGTTACAGACTGTTCACGCCAATAATGTTTGGAAAACGTTAAGAGTTTGTGCTTGGGTTAACCGATTTCTGACGAACTGCCGGAAAGCGATTGATGAGCGGAAAACTGGTCCTTTGACAACGCAGGAGATCCAACACCAAGAACTGTGGTGGATTAAGAAGACACAACAAGAAGCTCTATCAACTAATACGGAACAGTTTCAGAGAGATCGAGTTCAGTTTAACATTCAGAAGAATAGTGAGGGAGTACTAGAATGCAGAGGACGAATCGAAGGTCAATACCCGATCTTTCTACCGGACACAGCATCTTACACGAAAGCATTAGTATTCCAAGCCCATTTGGATACTCTTCATGGGGGAGTAACCCTTACCATGGCTAAATTACGAGAGCAGTATTGGATTCCGAGGTTAAGGCGATTGGTAAAGCTAGTTAGGAGTTCTTGTTATGGATGTGTACGGTTTCGAGCTACATCGTATTCTTCGCCACCCCCCGGACAGCTACCAACCAGTCGTACGCAAGGCGAAACTCCGTATGCAGTGGTCGGTATTGACTTTGCGGGACCGATAAAGTACAGAATCAAAGCGAACACTGATGGGAAGGCATATCTGATCCTTTATGCTTGTAAAGTCGCGAGGAGTCTATTTGGAACTGTTACATTCCTTGGAAACGGACGAGTTCATGAGATCATTAATAAGATTCGTAGCAAGACGGGGAAGACCAAGAATTATTTACTCTGACAATGGTAGTACCTTTAAAGCAGCAGCAAAATTGATAAATCTGATCAATAAAGACGAGAAGATCAACAATTACTTGGCAAAGAACTCCATTGAATGGAAATTTAACCTAAGTAGAGCACCCTGGTGGGGTGGACAATTTGAGAGACTTGTAGGAGTTTTCAAATCGGCATTTCACAAGACAGTTGGAAACGGTACCTTGAATTTTGATGAGCTGTCTGCGATCGTATTGGATGTTGAGACGTCTATCAACGGTCGTCCGTTAGATTATGTGGAAGATGATATCCAACTCCCTCTACTCACACCCAATTCCTTTATGTTCCTTCAACCTACTCAGCCGTTAGAATTGGAGCCACATCACCTCCAGGAAACTACGTTACGAAAGCGAGCTAGATATCTGTCTAAAGTGAAGGATTCGTTATGGGCAAGATGGAGTAAAGAGTACGTACGAAGTCTGCGCGAGAAACATCGATTACTACAGCAAGATAAGAAGACCGAATCACCAGAGGTTGGCGATATTGTCATAATTAGAGGTGATGAAAAGAATCGGAATCTATGGAAACTCGGGAAAGTAGTTCGTCTTATACTCGGTCGTGATGGAGAAATTTGTGGCGCTAAGGTTCAAACGGGAAATGGAATTTTGGAGAGAACCCCTCAACACCTCTACCCTTTAGAGTTGAAATGTGATTTCAATGACTCGAAGCAACCGTTGAATCCTGATGTTGAAGAGTTTCGTCCACGACGGGGAGCAGCAATAGCAGCTGAAGAACAAATAAGAGCTATAAACATGTACAATGACGATTAGTTACTAGCAATACTTCAGTCTCCTTTAGGACATATAGCAGTTATTACAGCTATATGGGGGGAGGGTGTCGGAGACTGGGTACGAACAGTGTTAATTTTGTTGAGTTAAGCACATTTTTGTGAGACTTGTGAGAGCGAAGTGAGATTTTATAGCGAAGCGATTTCTATTATTAAATATAACTTTTAAACTTTAATTTGTGAGTGATTTTAAGCGAAGTGACGTATTATTTGTTGGGAATCAGTTTTGGAGGCAAACTTTCCTAACAGTTAAACGTTTCAAAACATTTATTAAATCTTGAACATTTTATATATTCATTTGTACGAATTCATATCTTAAACCGATTATATATGCGAGAGCTGAGAGATATATTTGTTATACCGATATACCAGTTTACAAATTTACAATATGGAACAATTGTAAAACTGTTAGAATTTGTCCAGCTATATTGTTTTGAACAGACAGTGTAGAAAAATCGAACAATATCACCTAAAATATTTCGCAATGTTTTGATTACTTTACAAGCGTTTGCAGGTGTTACTGTAACACGGGTAATATACTGGACAAAGACGTCAAGACAAAGTTTTAAAGTTACAGTGTACATTACTGCGGGTGTAGATAATAGATTTATAAATACTAATTGAAGACTACAGAATTCAGCTTATATAAAATACTGAATTTATTCATTGCATATTTCGGTTTCTAAGTTTGTATATGACTAGCCAGTTTATAAAGTTTAATAAAATCGTAATTACAAAAGTCGCTCTGATATTGAACGTTCGGAAACTTAGTTCTATTTACAACATGAGCGGCCGTGTTGTATCGGATATACAAACTCGGGCCGAAAACGACTCATCTTATGAGTTCATTGACGAAGTAATTTTAAAAATTAACGTTGTCTAAGCCGAGAAAATCAAAGATAAAGTTTATGTAAATCAACATGAATCCGTATCACATATACAGACTCCTTCAGCCCATGATTTCTTTTGTGTTTTCTTTATGAATTATTAATTATATATATATTGTTAATAGTATATATTGAATATAATACATGCCGTCACGCAGTCGCGTCAAGTTCAAAACAAGTGTTACCAGTGAATAGCTTTATATACATATACGTATATACCGTATTATTATTCGATTATCGCACGCTCCTTGTTTACACTTTACAGTTGACATTCAAAGTGGGCGTGTCTTGTGTATTTGAATGCTATTGGCTAATGGAATACAATGGGAAGGCGAATTGCTAGCGAAAGTAAGCAGACCGTACGTGGCGGGCCTAAACCCGCTAAAGTAGGTCTGCATAGGAGACTAGTTGGAGCGGGCTTTGAAAATTTTACTTGTTTTAAGAGAGGCGGCAACGAAAAAATATTATAACTGTACAGTTTCTCCTCAGTCCTCTGTACAATAAATAATGACCAGTCCCCTATATTGTATTAAATTCATACTAATTATAGTATACGACAAGTTGTTTTTACTACCATTTATTTGAAGGAATTTGTTTTAGCCGTCGTTGTAGTGTTGCCGTCCTACATGCTTAACGTAACCTCCCTATTAACGTCTGCTGAAACGAGCTTCACATTCCATTCCCTTTGTTTTAGGAGCCAATCATCCAATCATCTGGCCACTGCCACTTCAAAAGGGTTAGAGCCAATTGGAAGCCTTCTTATTGAGAGATTAGCTACAGGGGAAAGCTCTTGATGTGGCAACATAGGCAACAGCCTTGTGGCAACAAGGCGGCAAGCAAGCTATAACAACTATTTGGGTTGAAATTTGTTTACTTGCGTGGATTTACTTGCGTGGGGATTATTTTGCAAATTATAGCCTTGAACTTAACCATGTTTACGTAAAATACTATTGTGATCATCTTCTCGCATGTTCTGCAAACAACCGGTGTATATAAAATTCAAGAGCTACGCAATAAATAAGCAAAATTTTAAATTTTATTAACGACAATGACAACTGAAGCAATCGGGAAACTCGAGAACGAGTATATCATGATAACTAGGATATGTCCAAATGTTTCTATTAATACTTCCTATGTGCCATTGCTGCAACGAAAAATTCTAAAAGATTAAGCTCTTGCGGTGATTATGTAGAAAAGTATAGCGAAGTTAGATGTATAAACGTTTCGAAGTTTGGGCGAATTCGACTCATTTAAAAGTTTCTCGGGTTTTATAAATGTATACGTTGTGTTTACATTCACAAGTTAGAAGTGGTTGCTCAAACAGCAAGTATCTCTGACGTATTGTCTTTAATTCAATTCAATTTATGTGCAATTTTGATCAAAATTCAACCGACGACCGCTTTCAAAATGTAGAAATATCACTTTCCGAAATATAGAATGTTCACTGTGATTGATTGATTGATTGATTGATTGATTGATTGATTGGAGGGAATGGAATGTGCAGCTCGTTTCAGCAGACGTTAGTTAGCGTCCGAGTGCTATAAGAACGTCTGCGAGCTAGAAAACTAGCACAAAGACGGGACAGACCGTTCAAAATTTCCTTCGTCCGTTTGTCCTTGATAATGGTTCTGTGCTAACAGAGTTTTCATGTTTGTTTTAGGTTTACCGAATTCCATTATGGAACTTCAAAAATATTTTTCCAAAGGAACATCAAATGATCATGATGTTGTTAGTGCTTTCGTCAAATCCCTTCACTACGAACACGGTATGTGAATTGTTGTTAAACATTCAATAAATGGGCAATCCGAGTGCTGAGTTACAGAAAATACAAAAATTACTGAAGGGGCAAAGCAAAACAAGGAATGATTTTTTCATTTGCCTTAAAGACAGGGCAAGGAGCAACCAAATATAACAGAGCATTTACGATTTTCATTGTGAATGACACTGACGGGAAGCTTCCGATTGCAACATTTCCAGATAAGAGTGAGAAAGATCATACCAATAATTTTATATAAATTTTATCGCTGCTCATTCCATAAAAATAGGGGTTCTAGTGTTCTAACAGTCCTGAAAGTACTGGTAGAAGCTTTAAACTTGATAACACATTGTATCTGGATGTGCAAATTAATTTCGAACTTTTTTGTAGATTCTACATTTATTAAGGATTTCTAACAACAAATTATATCGCCGCACATTTTTATCACTGCACACAGATAAGATATGGACAAGAATAATGTTCTACATGACTATACAGATATGTACTGTACATATATCGTGAACATGCGAATTGCAGGACTTCTAAAACATTTTTGGCTGTAAATATTTTACTAATTTTTGTCCAGGGCCGCCGAGAGGGAGGGGGGGGAATTGCCCCGGGCCCTGATGCTCTGGGGGCCCCTAGAAATTTAATGTTAGAAATTTAATGGGCCCCAGTCATTTTTTCGGGCGAAATATTTCTGTTTTCGGGCCAAAATATTTGTGTTTAGGGGGCAATGAACCGAAATTTGGTATGGAAAATTGCGGAAAAGTCCAACAAAAGCAATTATAACGCACCTAAAAAGAATTTATTGTCCGAAAATTTTTTTTCTGGAAAACTTTTTTGCAATAAGGCCCCTAAAAATTTTTTTGCCCCGGGCCCCCGCCAAGCTCTCGGCGGCCCTGTTTTTGTCTCTGGCACTGTGCCATTGCCCGAGCAGCGTTGAGGAATAACATAGTTTGGGATGCATACAGTATTGTTAGCTATTGTTTGATTTTTATAAATATTTTCAAGGTTTGCCATCTCAAGCCAAGCAAGCGTTGGAACAACATTTGACTGTGAGCAGCTTATATAGTTTCGATGCTGCATACATTCAAATATTCGTTCAAAATATGAAACTTATTAGCGAAACAAAGGTTGAAAAAGAAGAAAATCTAGGCGTTTTGAGAAGTCAGCTCCACGATTCGAATGATTCTGAGGTATTATTATAGCTATTGTATTCACATTTACAGAATTCTCCTTTGTACTCTTTGTAGATGGGTTTTGTATATGTAAATCTCGAAAAATGCAACTAGACCTAGATACATTTATACTGAGGGCCGTAACGAGCGGGTGTGTGTGTGTGGTGTTGGGGGGGGGGGGG